AACTGCAAATGCTTCCGGACACTGCTCGCTCGAGCTGATGAATATTGAGGGGAACTGATGAAACATTTTTAATTTGCGCGAATAATAAGGGCGATGAAAAATTACGCTGCAATAACAAAATTCACTCCAAACCACAAAAATCGCATCACAGCAGATTAGGCGGCTCTAAGCGGATCAAATTAACACCCGCTTCATTATCAAGAAAAAAAGCGCCATTAGGCGGCGGCGGCGATAAATTTGAAGATAATCGACTGAAGTGGAACCGAATGAGAAGATATTCAGTCGCATTATTTGAATGGATATATGCGAGAATTTCAGATAGAATTGAATAGTGCTGTTGTTATTACTCATTCGCTGTGACTAGATAGGCGTTGCGGAAAATCGATGAAAACATGAGAGAGATACAAGAAACAATTGTGAATTGTACATTATATTTTATACGCTTTAATGTTATTGTTTACATGTGAATGTGTGCATTAAGATGACAATATGAAAAGTGTTGTTCAGAACTCATGAAAATGTATGTGCCTTTTGATTCGAAAATAAGCTGAGTGAAAGTTTGCTGAATGAAAGTTGTTTGAAAAGTAACTGCGTAAAAGTTATTTAGCCCCAAGTGCGCTAATGAACGAATTTCCACTTTTGAAATTTTCATCGCCTTCTCATCTGTAATCGTGTACTTTTGATTGATTGGAACCAAACGGTGCTCTTATCTACATTGTACGTCAGGCAAACCAACAGCCTGATCCGGCGATCTTTCAGACTCTTTTTGGGATTCATTTCATTACAATTGTTTTTGAATCGTAGGGCATCTTTTGAGGAGTGAGTGACATTTTGGAAATTCAAAAATCCAAATATCGCGCAACACGATGCCTCAGACCAAAAAAACTATTCATCTTTAGAAGTAATATTTGAAGCATACTTTTGCATACCTTGTTTCTAGACCAAATCGCATTTTTTTGAACTGCGAAAAAATTTTTCACCCTAATGTGCACATATTATATGCATATAAATAGTAAAAAAAAATATATATATATATATGAAGAAAGGAAGGTGTGTATTCCAATATGTTGGCAAAAACAAACAATTTAGTGAACGTTCGATGTGGAAACGAACTTATCTAAAAGCTCATTTCGTTTGGTTTGCATTCGCAAATGAGAAATGCACATGAACGGCCAAAGTTGCATCGCAGAGAAACTGAGTTTTGGTGAAACGATTCGCGAAAGACGAGAAAATAACAAAATTAAAAACAACGAAATAAACTGCGTATAGATCGCTCATAACAAAATGTGGCAATCCCAAATGAAAAGTGAAGAATGTGTTTATCAATTCGCAACAATGAACACACCTTACCCAACCGCACCACCTTACCTAGTGACAAGCCGTTAAATGACAGAGCACAGTTCAAAATGTTGATGATCTGGTGGAACAGAAACTTTTGAATTATTCAAAAATGAAGAAGACGCGTGCGGTTTGTGATCGTGACATTGCCGACATGATTATGGAAGTACTTATTTGAATTTTTGCGTGATGAATCTTGACTGAAAAAAATACGACAAAGCAAAAATTGTAAATTTTTCAGGATTATATTAGTTCTGGCAAAATTATTCAGAAATTGTCAATAACCACCGAACTAAACGACAACATCAAAATGAATCGTTGCCTAAATCTCTCGCAAGGTTCTAGGGATGTACAGGATGATGCTAAACCAGAGAGAACTGCCAATCAGTTTTGATTTTCTGCGCATACAAAAATTAATACAGCATAACGGTTGAGTTGACAATTGCCAAGAATCTTTCTAATAAAGAATTGCAACAATACTCAAAGATAGACGGATACGAGGTGAAATGGAAGAAGAACTACTTTGCAAAAATAATTAATTTTAATGTAAGTGATGAAATTGAATCTGAAATTACGGAAAATAAAAATGAGTTCAATGGAGGAAATATATTCCCATTCGAAAAGAGAAGAAGTGGTAAGAGTACAAATAAAACAGAACTGTATGCGACCTTGTAAAAAAATGTATTTCAAATGGGTAACATTAGAGAAGTAAAACACAAAACGATCGATCCACTCAATGGGGGTTATCAAATGAGAGTGCAACTTAAACAGCTGTATAAAGGTGGCTGCTTGTTGTTGCACACGACATACAATATTTACTGAACGATATTTGCTATTCAGTGCTCAATTGAAAACAATTCGGGTACCTTTGACAACAACACATCTCAAGGTACCTGAAAATGCCTAACGCATGACCCTCACTTATTGCAATTTCAGCATCCAAGCACTGAACATCATCAATCTACTAAAAACATTCTATGCACGAACAATACGAAGTTAACTGAAAACAATTTTTAAAAAAGAGGAAAAAACCACTTACGATAGATCAAAAAACGACACTGAAGACAATCGTCGTATCCGTCTCAACGAAATAACCCGTATAACTGAAACAACTGAAGGTCCCAATCAGAATTTTCACGAATGAATCACGAGTTTAGCGACTGCTCACAATTGTATTGCGCATCTCATTGATGCGCTCGAACGAATGCTCGCTCTATCGATTGAAAACAGTTCACAATGCTTAAGGATCTCATGGCACGGCAATCAGTATCGATGGTGGGCAGTAGAACAATATCACGTATCAACAAAATCAATTGCCAGTCTCAAGAAAAAACGATCAACTATTAGTGAAAGTTGTTAGCAATTGCTGAGTTCTTCACATCAATCTACGACGACACGGTTAAAGCCTAAAAGCTGTCAAAGTAGACGTGGACGCATTATAGGATTCATCGTCAGTTTACAAGAAATTAATTCATGTAGAAAACCACATTCACAAAAGAACTGAATGAAAGAGGTATTGATTTCGATGGACACAGACGCACTAGCAAATATGTGCAGTGCAGTTCGATGACGTAATTCCATCTAACACTGTGAAGAGGCGAAACTCATACAAGTTTATCAATGTTCACAAAGTTCGACCCTTGTAAGAAGCATACATTGTAATCGGTTCAACTGGTAAATTCAGTGAAAATCCCCTCGAAAATTGATTCAAAAACTGAGCATAAAAGTCCGAAATAGTGATCGGAACGTGCAAAATCGAGACAACTGAACGCAGCAGCACGGCAAATGAGACAGGTGTGATGGCGCAGCAATGAAATGATAATGACGATAATATTGATAATGATGTACAATTGCAGTAATGCGTTGAACACCTGAATTCAACAGAAGCGTACACATATAAATATACATATCGACGCACAAATTATATCGATAAGTAACATTCCACAGAATAAAACTTCGGATTAGAGAGTATTGGAACGAAACTCGTAAACAACTAACAACAACTCAACAGCACGCACGCTAATGGATCAATGCGCACGTATATGTGGCATAGTGCCATTAGATTCGCTAAGAACAATCCTTTCAAAAATTAAGATCGAATGGAAATTGCGTTTTGAACAGCCAGATAGATTTTTCTGTTTCAGAGGGTATTTGAATGCGTTAGGGTGAACGCAGTCAGATAGATGATCGTGCTAAGCGGCTCGAAAGCTATCGTTCACTAACCACCGATTCAAGTAGCCCGATGAGTCTTTCTGTGCTGCGTCCGTCCATCAGTCGGAGCTGCAGGAAATTTTTTCATATCCTTTCTGGGAAATNTAAACATGGAACTTTCATAATCCAATGCGCATTGTAGTGCAGAAATTCTTTAATATTCTTTACTGCAGCTGTATTTCAATAAAAAATTTTCCAGTCTGCATGAGACTCTACAGAATAGACCGTGAAAATGAGAACAATGACTTGCGACCAGTAATAGTGGAAAACTATTTTTGAAAACGTCTAATGGCGAATAGAGAATCGTTTTCCTCTGCATGCAACTACTGTTGAATAGAGCAGTGAATTTACGGGCATTCGTGCAGATCAGTAACTTTTATGTTGGAACAGTTTCAGTGACGTATGCTTTTTGAGACGATTACTCACTCGTAATGTGTGTGTG